TTTGGCAAAAGATCTGGCACGCCAATTTTGAGAGAGCTAACAAGTTTTATTTTGCGCTGGCGGTAGTAATACAAGAGTACAGGAGAAACCGTAATACGAACAACTCTTTGGTCTCGTTATATTCCTCTAATGTAATATTCGAAATTATTTGCTAAATGGAGACGATTTTCAAGGGCTATATTTATTTATTTCCTATTGCCGCTTCAATTCGTCCGGTGGGACTACCGACTGACACAGTTGCGATGCTCACCTTGAGAGATCTTGACATCATAATAACTGTGAGATTTAATTAATAAAAAGTTTTTATCAAAAAAACTTTTCTATATATAATATTTTTATATGCTAACAATATATTTATATTATTAAAATTATAATGTATATGTAAAATTATAATGTAATTATAATGTAATTATTATGTAAAATTATAATGTATATTATTAAAATTATAATGTATCAATAGATTTCCACATCACCTAAGAGGTACTATTGCCGATGCGTTTTTTTTTAAGTGGTATCCCCAATAGGCCTATTCCACTAAAGAAGCACTTCAATTAACTTTTAAACTTCATCCTACAATTTAATTTATATTAAATTTTTTAAAATATATTATATTATAAGATATTTTAAATATTAAAATATATTATATTATAATATATTTATATTATATTTGTTACTGTATTTATAAAATCAATATTCAAAGAAAATGTTCAGTATTCAAAGAAAAATGTTTAATAAATAAAATTTTATTCTCGTTGACACATTCATAAATATAACGCAAAGTTCGCAATCACAGTTGAAACAATTGCATAAATCTAAGACTAGCAAATGTTATCACGGGGAAATCTACAGGTAGACCTCCTTAAAAAGTTGTAAGTATATATTGACGTCCCTTTTCCTCACCTTTTTAATATCGAGACGTCTTATTGTTTGCAATATTGTACTATGTACTAATTAACGAAAATCATTGTTATATTTTAGTGTTATGTGTCATATGTGTAACGGCATTCGTTTGTATCCTGTTTTACAATTATGTTGAATACCGTGTGTCAACGTTTAATGCGATTCACTTGTATGCATTTCTTTATAATTTTTCATCATCATTAGTATCTTTTAGGATGTCATTGGTAATAAGAAATTATATATGATTTCTCAATTGCATAGCATGATTGCATTAAAACCTTTTTTTTCCGTGATACATTTGCTAGTCTATGTGATTCATGCAATTATTTCAACTGTGAGTGCGATCTTGCATTACATTGAGAAAACAATGTTCTGAAAACAAATTTCTTTTTCTCTTTATTAAAAAGTAATACTTATAGTAGATACATGATTTGCAAACTTGTAACACTCTATACATATATAGAGGTACATTTTAAATGCAACATCATGATACCATGCTGTAATATTACTTCGCACAATGACGGATATATAAGATACAAATAATAACAAAATAAAGAAAGAAAATCGTACATTTCCTAGTTTTCGTAATTATGAATACGTTCGCGAAATTTGAACATTTGTGCTTCTTTTGTACAATTTTATACGTTCTATATTATTTATTTTCTTTATTTTATTAAAACGTATTTTATTTTATTTGATATGTTTGTCCTTTATAAGTTTTCCTTTATAAATCTTTTTATTTATTCGATAAATTTGTTAATTTTCTATTGAATATATTATTTGCTTTTATACTACCGTTATTATATCGTGTGCGGGAATATATCTTAACAGTCATTAAAAATTTTAATGCCTGCATACGATGAATGTAACACTTTTTATGAATGTCAAACCATTCAGCATGCATTTTATTAGTGGCATGTATACCTTCATTTATCATCTTTTCAAGAAGTTGTGTGGATGCCCAATGATGTTGCCACGAACGATTAAAAGCCATTAACTGTGTTTTAATGATATTTATAAAAAGATTTGTTAGTCGAACTAATTTCGTGACTGTCGGCGCATCTTCGTCTGCATTAGGATATTCTCGATATTCGATATATTTTTCATTAGCTGTTACGTCTTCCATTGGTGTTTTTAACATTATTTGACGACAATAGTTACAATCATTTTTTTCAATACATCGTCGTGCTACATATCCTGCAAAGAATGTAATAGCATTTTCATCATAATTACTTATTATATTCATATTTTCAATGTCTACATCATCGTATTCCTCTACAATTTCTGCATGTTTATCGAACAATTCTGTTTCTGAATCAACATCATCATCAACAACAACAACGTCAGCATTATTAACACTTATGCAATGTTCAATCGTTTTCATGAGATGATTCGGCTGATTAATAAGAGCCTCACTTTCAGAACATTGAACGTTGCCCTTATCGCTTGCCAGAATGTAACCCGTAGAAAGAATATGTCTAACAGACAGTCGTACCATTCTTGCGGTTGGATTAGGATTAAATCCTCCGCGTTGTCGAAGTTTTGAAAACAAATGTTCCACTGAATCTTGATTACATAAACCTGTTGCAAGTTCAAACTTATCATATTTACGTGAAAGTATCTTATACAAAGTAAGAATAGCTTGTGTTGTAATCACGAAACCTTTGAAGCATGGAACTTGAAATACTTTATTCGGAAATTTTGATCATCCTGAACACCATTGCACAAAATTAGTCAAAAGTATTTCAATATCAGGATTTTTTTGAGATAATGGCCGTTTTCCACCAAATTTAACTTTAAGGCTATAAGAATTGCAAGCATCTATTACGTTATTCATATATTCAGCAAAATCAGCCGTAGCTTTCCATGTATTAGAATCTAATTCTTTTTCGTCACCGGCTATTTTAATTGCAGCTGCGAATTTATTACTAAATAATTGAAACGCTCTTTTCACGTTCATGGCTTCAAAACTATTTGGACGAATGTGTGCCTCTGTTATATGGGATAATAAATTTGAGCCTCCTTTTGTAGCATTATCGATACACCACGTCTTAATAAAATCTGAATATGATACAATTATTTCCCCGTTGCAATATATCTTATCATGTGTTCTAAGGAAACCAGCTAATCTTTTAACTAAGTACTTTAATTTTTATATATAAAAAATGGTGTTTGTACTTCAACACCGTTGACTAAACGCAGCTTGATTGTGTACACCTTGATCACATGTCACGAGTTGCACATCAGCATCTGTTTCATTTAATTTGTCTAAACATATCTTCACTAATTCAACTATTTCCTTTGATTTTAAAGCATTTCTAACAAAGAAATACGCTAAAGGTTGTCGCCACGGATGATGTGCATTCAAACTATCAAGGCAAAGCACAAATACGCACTTAGCTCTTTCGTTTCTTTTACCTAGAGGTCCTAGATCGACAAGACCTTCTATTTCATCTAATTTTAAAGAATATTCCTCATAACTTTTTATATACATTTCATCCCATTTTAAGGCACACACTCGTTCTTCCTCAGGTATTTGCGATATTTTTTCTTTTAATTTTTTAAATAAAAAATCGCAAAATCCCGGTTTTATATCATACTCTTCTAACCATCTTCTAATTGTTCGCTGTCCGGGAAAATTGCAACCTGCTTTCTTTAAGCGACAAAATGCTGACGCTGAATAATAATATAATTGCTTAGAAAGCATTTTTTCTTCCTCTGTATATTGTGTGCGCGGAATATGCAGTTGCAAATGTATCATACTTTTTGCAACAGGATTAAGTTTTTGTTTATTTATCAAATTCTTTAATATATGTTTTTCCGACTTTTGACTTTTACATTTCTCACGCGCTTGTGTCATATATCGCAACTGTTAATTTAAACGTTTAATTTTTTTTCGTAAATTAAGATTTTCTATTCTTAAAGCCTTGATAATTAAATCTGGATTGTTATCTGGATTTTCTTTACTTTGCATGCATTTTTCCTTACGTTTCACATTCTCACGTGTGTGTGGTTCTGGTTCCAAATGCATCCATTCCATGACATCTTCCTCTTCTGCAGTAATGTCGAAAAGTACAGTTCCAGATCCATATGTTCGTACTGCAGACTGTTGAAGTTCTTCTTTTTCTAATATAATATTTTGGTAATTGGGTAAAGATAATTCTGCAACGTCCCTTTGTACCTCTCTTATTTCTATATTATCTTTATGTACAGAAGAGGCATCTTTGTCGTACGGAATTGGTACGGCATCTCTACGCAATTTTATTTTTTGGGTTGTGGGTTTTTAAAGGACGTCACAACAAAATGATCTTCGCACAATCCCGCAGCTCGAAGGGTATTCGGAGACCATGTCTCCAACTTAGTATTTCCTGTAACAAAAAATAAAAAACAAGCGATTACGCGTTTATTTCTGACTTCCGTAGCAAGAGATTTGTATATGTATTCCAATAGAATAATTGTATATTATACAGTAAGCATCATGAAATGAAGAATTTTGTGATGGTTGCACTAAGATATTTGGCATCAAGTCATGGTTTCGTCTAAATATAATTTGAAAATAATATTTGTTCTAAATATTACACATTTCTAATTTAGGATTTTTAGTTTTTCTTTGGATATCATTATATCAATTATTTTTATATTTAATAATTAATAATAAAGCATTTAATATTTATATTATATTTATATTAATAATGAAATCATAAGTGTCAGTTTTTCATACTACAAAGCAACAATCACATTTTTCAATATTTAGAGCATTTTCAGACAAAAAAATTACAATTGGGAAATTATGAAATAACTTTAATAAAATAAGAAAAAGAGTTATAGGTGAATGTTATATAAATATTTCAATAATCTTTGTATTTATTAACGTTTTATTACATTATTTTTAAAAACCAACTTAATTTTTTACTGAAAAATTATAAGTACTGTACAGGGTGTCCCGAAATTAAATGTCAAAACTTCAAAAGCGTGTAGAGGATCGATAAAGTAAGAAAAAAGTCCTTTACAGATTTGCTCGTTTTAACTTCCTTGTGAAGAAAATAAAAAAAAACAAAAAAAGTGTTTATTTAATATTTATACTTATTTTTTTATTAATTTATTTACACTTATTTATTGCTTTACTTAATAAATAGATTGTTCAAAATGTTGACCTTTTGCAGCAATGCAAACATTGCATCTATTACTGACAGCTTGTATTGCAGCCAAACACTAATCTTATGATATTTGATGCACAGCAGCCACGATTCGATTTCTTAGCTTAGCCCCCCACACAAAGAAATCCATAGATGTTAGATCGAGTGATTGTGATGGCCAAGATATAAAACCTCAACGTTCAATTCATTGTCAAAAAATCTAAAATAAGTTTTATCTGAAATAAAATTTCAGTGAAATCTTGCTTCCACTGATGAGAAATAATAAAATATAAATAGAACAAAAGAAAGAGATTTGTGTGCAGTGACACAGTCAGTATTTGCAAACTGTATCAATAACATGAACAATCGCTGTTAATCACTGATTCTTTTAGCGAAATTTTTTGCAGTGCTATATTTAGAGCAAAAGCTCTTATTACAACTATAATGTTTCAATAAAGAATGCACTGATTATATTTTACAGAGTATCGCGCGGATTGTGAGAATTTTGTGGTACTGAGATTTAGAATGCAACGTTGTTAAAATAATATGTAATATTAGAATGATAATAAGCCGAACAGTTGCAATTACAAGGTATCAAACTTTTTTACCATTTCAAAATTGAAACAGCAAAAAACGGTGAAATATTCCTTTTACTGATACAATAAAAAACATTTTTACTGATTCACTTTAAGAGAATACATATACGAATCTGCCTTTCTTTAAAAAAAAGGACGTTAATATATGAAACAGTAAGATCCCTGCGAGGAATGATTCGTCGATCGACATCGAAAGCCACATAACACAAGATCTCCAAGGAATATGCTAGAGACTTTACGAAGTTTGGAAGACGTTTGGAAGTCTTCAGATTTCTTTCGGACGTTCTTAGGACGTAAAACATCCTCTAGACGTCTTTCGGACGTTCTTGTGATCGCGTGCTGTCTAGGAACGACGTCAGTTAGATGGTTGCTCAATTATCAATTATCAATGATATATGGCCTTTCATTACATTCTCTAAGTTTCAATTGTTAATTTAACGATTCCTTTCACAAGTCAAATATTAACATGCTGATTTGAAACATAATGCGAAAAGCTCGAAAAAAAATGCGAAGCAGAGAAGAGATTAACAATGAATGATTATTATTTAATATGCAACTTACAGTTTAATGGACGTCAATTCGACAAGTCATTCTTCGCTGAGATAAAGATCTATCTGTATTGTATATTCATTGATGATATCTTGCGTCGTTTTGCATGGGAAACCTGAATAGGCGCTTTCCATTACATTTCCCATTACTGCAATTTTTGTACACACAGGTATTTGAATAGCGAACTGCACGGAACTGATTTGACATTGTATATTAATTTAGAATATATACAGTGTTATACACTGTATGAAAAAAAATATGAAAAAAAAAGAAATCACAACACGTGACAAGAAAAAGAAAAAAAAAGAAGAATAGACGCGATTCAACACACGCGTAAGCACACGCGATGTTTATATATAATCGCGTTAAGGAAAAGAAATATGAAAAAAATAAGTGTTGTGAAATCTCGTTGACTCGCTAAGATAAGAAACACTGAAAATCCGCACAAGAACGAGAATCGTTAGAATACGGATTACGAAGTGCAGTCGTAAAGCTCGCCGCGAGTACTGATGACTGTCGCCGATAGATTGCCACGCCGCTCGTGTCAAAATACCTCTCCGAGGGGAGAGAACGTTGAGCGTCGCGCTTCTGTTGTTTCAAAGCCAGCAGATAATCACGATTGAACACTCGTAAAGTCAACCGAATTTTAAACATCTCGTAGAAACAAGTGCTTCAACTCATCAATATAAATGTAAAGGAAAGTAACCGAAACAGCCAAAAACCTCCTACAGAAAGGAAGAGATTTGAGCAGAAATTCATATTCAGTAGCTTCGAGACATTAAGTCAATTAGACATTCCATGTTAATGTAAGATGCATATTAAATAATAATCATTCATTGTTAATCTCTTCTCTGCTTCGCATTTATTTTCGAGCTTTTTGCATTATGTTTCAAATCAGCATGTTAATCTTTGACTTGTGAAAGGAATTGTTCAATTAACAATTGAAACTTAGAGAATGTAATGAAAGGCCATATATCATTGATAATTGATATGAGCAATTTCAATCGGTTCAATCGAAGAGCGTTCCATTGTGTAGGTTACAATTGGTTATATAGATAATATTTATAATCATAATATCGTGAAAGATGCCGATGATTAAAAAACGCTAAGATTTAGTTTCATAATTAATTTTAACCGGAGTTTAAGACTTATTGAGACAAACTTGCATAGTCGTATTGTTCATATGCATAACTGAAGTAGAACTAATAATTATATAAAAGTGAAGATGATGTCAAAATTAAGTCAAAATAATTTTGACGTTATCTTGACCTTTGATGATTACTTGTTCTAGAGAAGGAAACAGATTAATTAAATGTAAAATATGTCTAATATAAAAGGCACGCTTGTACGGATTATGATTGGTTGATTTTCTTGTGCATATCAATGATGCGATTATGTAATTTTGTATAGATAGGCTTTTAAAGAGTTGTCTTATTCAACCCGACAAAAAATACGTATATTTCGTTAATTTTTTTTGCGGAAGCGAAAAAGATCACATGATTAAAAGATTACGGGTTTTGACAGTTTGCTTAATGATGTTTAAAGAATATATATACATTTTTCTACAAGTATGTAAGGTTAAAAATATATAAAATATTGCAGTAAAAGTAAAGAGGTTGCAAATAGACGATTCCAAGGAATTTCTAAATGTGTGTGATTTAATTTTTCATAATTATTTTAAGTAGCTTTTTATTTTCTATAAGTATAGCTATCGTCTGAACTACAATCGGAACACAAATAATAAAATGGTAGCATTTAGAACAAAAATCGTTTATTTCTGGCCTCTCGGTAAAGTTTAATAAAAAATAATAATTATTAATGAATTTGGTTAATTGTAATTAAAATGGTAAAGAGAAGTCTATTTTATAATGCTGCCAAGTTGCAAGTCGATTGGTCAAATAGTTATTGAGATATCGTGCGCACCGTGGAACCTCCTTGCTTTCACTGCAATATTTTTCATATTTTTAATCTTATATGTAGAAATTTATATACATTCTTTACAAACATCACATTAAACAAACCCTCAAAACAAAAATCCTGTAAAGGATTTAAAGGTCTTAAAGGTCTTAAAGAAACAGGATATTAATCTAAAAAATAGAAACGATCAGAAATAACCGCTCGGTACTTCTAATATTAACGAATTATATTTCGGTTAAAATAATATAAATCGTATAATATATTCCGATTAATATAACATAAGTCGTATAATATATTCCGGTTAATATAATATAAGTCGTGAAACTGGACCTAAGTAAGACTTACGTTTAAGCGAATGTTCTCTTGAAACTGAAAACATTAATAATAATAATAATGATAATTATATTTCTATTTATCTTTTTTTCTATACTATCTAACTATCTATCTATCTATTTCTCTATATCTATTTATCCATCTATCTATCTATCTATCTGTCTATCTATTTATCCATCTATATCTATCTCTATATCTATCTATCTATCTATTTATCCATCTATCTTTTTTCTTCCTATGTATCATTGCAACCTATCCTGTTCTATCCATATTTCTTGCAAATGCAAACAATGAATATTACATTAATTTTTATATTAAAATATATTTTTTATACTATAACATGCTGAATTAATAATTAATAAAATTCAACAGGTTATACTATAAAAACAAACACTTACGTAAAAAAATTATTATATTATTAAAAAGTTTGCATTTATTTTTTGACGGAGATCACCATTTTCTCGCGGTTTCCGTTGAGCAACAATATGCACGTTATCTATTCTTATTGTTTCGTATGGAAGAAGCGAGTGCGTGAACTCGGTGTATAAAAACAAACTCTCGAGATAATCTAAATTTCACGCTTCTGGAAGTTTCTCGAGAGGATGCCGTGATTTGCAAGAAGTGCTTCCAAATAATGCTAATATCGACGCTTCGATGTCACATTACGAGTTGTTGTTGTTCCATTTCTTATGAACAGCTAACAATGTAACCTAGTTGGCCGAGCCTAGCTCGTGTACATTCGTCAAAACAATAGCATCCAATGCTGATTGGAATACTGATTAAAAACTCGAGCACAAGACATTGTTTTCTTTCATGTGACATCGAAGGACGGTCGTATTCGTTACTCTTCAAGTCTGAACGTGAATTCAGATTAAACCAATCCCGCTCGAACACGGTTGGTTTTTCGCGAACTATAAATATTAAGGCTAAGGCGATCCGAGGAGACAACGTCGTCATTCTTGACACACAAGTCCGGTACACCGCAGCGCTAAGTTAGGAGTCTCCCACTCTCTATCCGGATTCTCGCAAGATACTCACCTTTTTTGTTGATTATTAAACAAGCTGTTTTTAAGAAAACAAATCTAATAATTCGAACCTCCTGTACCGTATCCAAACGCATTTTATTGCAACTTTCTGTCGCGTGGGAATCAGCGACATTTTATTGCACGTGTCGAACGTTCACCACTTTGCAACCGATCAACGAAGAGCTTCTGTTTCAACGCAGCGAAGAAGCCATTATCATCATTTAATTCGAGGCAAGAAGGTAACGTCTGATACACTTATCTATTATCTATTCGTAAAATTAAATAATAAAGTCGTAATTGAAATATGATAATAAAATTAATTTATTTTTTTACTAGACTAAATTTATTTTTGCTACGAAAAGAAAAATGTAACAATGGAATATCTTTTACAAAACAAATAACATTTCATTTAATTTTTAATTTAAATTTATTAGCATAAATAAATTATTCTGTCATATACTTTAATAACAAATCATTTTTAAAAGATGTATACGAGGGTGGTCCGATAAGTACTTAGCCTACAAAAGAAAACCGAAAATTTTGGAAAAGTGGCGATTTATTTCTCAACATAGTCTCCTTTTAGCTCGATACACTTGAGCCAGCGATGCTCCAACTTCTTTAACCCGTCTGAAAAATACGTTTTCTCGAGATCTGCAAAGTAGGCCTCCGTGGCGGCGATGACCTCCTCATTCGACTCAAATTTCTGCCCGGCGAGTGACTTTTTCAAGTTTGGAAACAAAAAGAAGTCGCACGGGGCCAAATCTGGAGAATACGGTGGATGGGGCAGCAGTTCGTAGCTCAATTCGACCAATTTGACCGTGGCGAGGGCGGAGATGTGAGCCGGGGCGTTGTCATGGTGGAAGAGCACTTTTTTCTTCGCCAAATGGGGCCGTTTCTTCTGCAATTCGGCGTCGAATCGGCCCAGTAATTCGGCATAGTACAGCCCTGTGACCGTTTTGCCCTTCTCCAGGTAGTCGATGTAGATCACACCTTGTGAATCCCAGAAAACGGTGGCCATCACCTTTCCGGCCGATAGGACAGTCTTCGCCTTCTTCGGAGCACGTTCGCCGGGTGAAGTCTACTGTTTCGACTGTTCCTTGGTCTCTGGTGTGTACCAGTGGATCCATGTTTCGTCGACGGTCACAAAACGACGCAGAAACTTCTTCGGATTGCGCTTAAACAGTGTCAAACACTGCTCTGAAGTGGTCTCATGGTTGCGCTTGTTGTCCGGAGTGAGCAAACGCGGCACCCATCGCGCCGACAGCTTTCTCATGCCCAAAATTTCATGCAGGATATGATCCACGCGGTTTTTTGAGATGCCTACTGTCTCAGCTAGCTCGCGCACCTTCAATCGGCGGTCTGCCAATACGAGATCGTGGATTTTTGTCATGTTATCCTCCGTGGTAGCCGTTTTCGGGGCACCTGGGCGTGGCTCATCAAAAACCGACGTGCGACCACGTTGAAACTCGTTAAACCAATTTTTGACGGTCGCCATCAAAGGAGAAGAGTCACCGTACACAGCATCCAAGCGCTCTTTGATTTCGCTGCGCGATTTCCCTTCCAAAAACAAGAATCGAATCACCGACCGATATTGCTCTTTTTCCATTTTTCTAAAATCCGCGGACACGCCCGCTTCCACACGCGGTCAAAACAAAACTACGAGTCCGATTCGGCTGAAATTTCGACAGTAGCCGTCTACGAGAATGTACTACACGATAGTAAATTTCTCTTGCGATAGTGGCGCCATCGGGCGGTGAGGCTAAGTACTTATCGGACCGCCCTCGTATATTGGCTAAGAGTGGATTTCTATTAACTTTTCGTCTCTCATTATAATTCTCTCTTCTTTATTTGGGCATTAATACTAAATATTC